AATTTTATATTTTAACCACATACTACATGTTAAGTTCCATTTTGATAATATTCGGTTGGTAGCGATATCGCTAGAACTTGTTGAAGTGCGAGGGTGTACGATGCATGGTGAATTCACCCTACTAAAGCCTACCAGTATCAAGTACCCCCCCCCCCCCAATAATAATAATAATAATAAAAATAAAAAAAAACATTAACTTCCCATTTTATCGCAATCATAAAATACTTAAAAAAATTATAACATTGGGCATTATTATTTTTTTCTTTTTTCATGGTAATATGTTTGTAAGCCAAAAATATCAGAGCCATCAGGCCTAAAATATTTTTTAGAACAGATATCACAGAAATTCAGTTTGCATTGTAACCATAATCTTAATTTACAATGTTTGTTTAAAAATAACTGCAAAGGATAGATGGGGTAATTTTTATATACATTATCTGACCCCCCCCCCCCCAAAACAAACAAACAAACAAACAAAAATACAAAAAAAAAAATACAAAACAAAACAAAAAACAGTTCTCATCAGAGATTTCATAAAATTCATTAAAGAAATGCAGAGCATGCTGGATAACGACATGGTGTTTTTAAATGTAAATACATATACCTCACGAACTTAATTATTACCAGCCGCCCCCCCCCCCCCCCCCCACAATTAACAACATTCAGAGAATTTTACGTGTAATGACCTCCAAATCAGCTTAATTTATACACTTGAAAATCGCTAACTTATCAATATTCAGCATTTTTTTTTTTAAAAATGGATTTAAACAAATGCATTCAAAATTATGATATTTCAATTTTTTCGAATAACCAATAAAAAAGTTTTGATTACCATCCATCCCACCAAGTGACCAGTTAACTGGTTAACGGTTGGAAATTTCCATCCCTAGGATTTATTTCCATAATTTTCTTTTTTTTTCTAAAAAGTCTAGATCTGACGTGCTCTTCTGGACATTTCTGACTCTTCTTAACATTTTATACGATATCAATAAATCATGAATCGATTAACAGCAAATTCTAGTTTTAAAGTGTCGTATTTTCAAACAAAATACCAAGGAGCAGCTAGAGAGGAAGATTTTCAAAGAATTAATGCAGTTCACTATATAATCAATAGAGCCCCACTCAAACACTGGCCCCCTGACCCAGGGGCCATGAAATTCAGGATAACTATGCACTTTGTTTGTTTGCTTTATACCCAGGAGCAGAGATGAAGATTTTCAAAGAAATAATGCTCTTTCACTATATACATATCATCAATAGATTCCCACCAACACCTCCTCCGCAGAACCCCCGACCCTTGGGCAACAAAATTCACCATTTTAGAGGAGGTCTCCTTGATCATCATAACCATGCATCTAGTTCTTCTGCTTAACATGTAAAAACAGAGGGAGAGAAGGATTTTTAAAGAATTTATGTATTTTCACTATATGGTCATTAGAGCCCCATCCTAACTCCAGAATCTTTGATGTTGGGGCCATGAATTTCACAATTTTGTTAGAGGGATCAATGCCTATTACAACCATGCCAACAGTTTGAATGCTTGATGTTCAGGAGTAAAGAAGAATATTTTTAAAGATAGCACTAATTTAGATGGTTTTAGCCCCACCCCTTTAGCCCCACTGGCCAGGGGGCAGGGACCATTAAAATCATAATTTTTGTACCTAGCTTTTTATCCATTAATGCTATAAACCAAAATTTGTTGAAATTGGTTCAGTGGTTCAAGAGTGAATCAGGTGACTTAAAAAAAGAAAGGATGCTAAAACCATATAATAAAAAAAGTTTTTCTAAAGATCCAGTAAAAAGTGTGGTATTCCTCCCTAAAATGTTTGGTTGAAACTTCATGAATTGAAATATTTTTAGATATCATACTATAATTCAACATTTGTGAGGCAAAAACACTCATTTTACACTGGGCCAAAATATGGGGTCAGAATGTCTCAGGAATTAATTAGTAAAAGGAAAAAAGAAATTAAATTATTTAACACTGCATAGTGCACACCCTTTATCTTAGGGCACTCTTTGGATGAATGGATGAAGTTTGTGCCTGAGAAAAAAAAATGCTCAAGAAAAGAGTTTTTCTGACCTTGACCTTTCACTTAGAAAATTTACTTGAGATCCTTCCACACCCTCTACATGTACCTATGGATTCTCTATGGGTGAAATATGAGCCCAACTGGGCCAAGTGGAGAGTAACTAATTTTACACAGAGGTTTTTGACCTTGACCTTAGATCAAGAAAATTGGTTTAAGGTCACTCCACACCCTCTACCCACTGACACTCCATGGGTGAAGTATGAGCAAGATATCACCAAGGGGAGAGGAAATATGCTCTAGACAAGGATTTTTTGCAGAGAGGTTTTCTAACCTTGACCTTTCATCTAGAAAATTGGTTCATGGTCACTGCACCTCCTCTACTCACTGACACTGGCACTCTATGGCTGAAATATGAGTCCATCTGTACCAAGAGGTGAGAAAATATGTTCAGGACAAGTATTTTTTAAAGAAATTTTTGACTTTTCATCTAGACAAGAAATGTTTGAAAAACCTACTTGTCCCTGTGTGGCAATTTTGAAAACAGAACAACTTTAAGAAGTCCGTAATTATACTGAAAACAATTTGTCATCTTCTATTCAGGGGCAAACATAATACATACAGAGTTTGCTCACTATCAGATCTCAATATCAGTAGGGGTAGTATACTTCTCGAAGGGTACCAGTGTACCAAAATTGATGTAAGCAAATGGTACTCAAGAAACTTAGCTGACAATATCTTCCAATGTCTAGTGTCTACATGCAGGGGTTTAAATTTTCCCTAAACATATCTACTATGCCTATGACATTCACTAGTCCATAACATTAGTTCATTAGTCCATTTGCCACCCCCCCCCCCCCCCCAAAAAAAAAATGAAACATTTTTTGACAGTTTACTCATCTGATGGCTCCTCTTGTATCATGCTGTCAATCTGATGCTATCAAACAAAAATCCAAAACCAATAAACAGAATTATGTATCTTAGTATAGTCTACTTGTGTGCCACATTATATTAAAATCAGACCAAAACTGTAGGAGGAGTAGCATTTTTGAAAGTATTTCACAGAAATTTCTATTTTTAGTTACCATGGCAATATCATTCATCGAAATCAAAAACTGATACATAGAATTATGTTTCTTGGATTCTACTTGCGTGCCAAGTTATATTAAAATCAGACCAAAGCTGTAGGAGGAGTAGCATTTTAAAATTATTTCAAAGAGAATTCATAATTTTAGTAACCATGGGAACACCATTAAATTGAAATCAAAAACTGATAAACAGAATTATGTTTCTTAGTTTAGACTACTTGTTGTCAAGTTATATTGAAATCAGAAAAAAAAACTGTAGGAGGAGTAGCATTTTGAAAGTATTTCACAGAGAATTTATATTTTTAGTAACCATGGCAACACCATTCATTGAAAATCCAATATAAAAAATTATGTATCTTAGTGTAGTCTACTTGTATGCTAAGTTATATTGAAATTAGACCAAAACTGTAGGAGGAGTAGCATTTTGAAAAATTGTATACAGAGAGACAGACAGACACCTCACTTTTGCATAAGCTCTTCTGGTCTCTGACCAGTAGAGCTTAAAACCTTTTTTGTGGTGGTGGGGTCCACATTTAATAACTGCAAATTCCGGGGGGGGGGGGGGGGGGGAGTTCTGGACCCTAACCCCTCTCTAGATCTGCATATGAAATCACACAGACTTTTCATGTAGGCATATTTCAGGAAATGTGCTAGTACTTCATGAAAATTATACCTACATGCAAGCTCTGTAGCCTCATTTTGGTGACACTTTAGTGTGATTTTTTCTCTGTAAATTTCTAAGCATGAGTATACATGAAATTTGACATTCAAATCAATTTCATAGTTGGCTAAATAGAAAGCACAGCAAATGTAACAAGAACTCTGTGAGCCAATGCTCACTAGTAATACCCCTGCTTTGATATGAATATAAACTCTCATGTGAATACTGTAGATCACATTTTATTTGTGAAAACTTAATTTTTTGCGTAATTATGCGAGACTGCCTGCTCGCAAAAATTTAATTCACGCAAAAAGATTATATAGAACAATAACCAGAGTTCGTGAAAATTACGTCTCGCTCATAAAAACCAAATGCCCATCTCGCAAAATTAAAGTGTTGCGAAAATTTGGTAATCTACAGTATATTGGAATGGACAGACGCAGGGATAAACAGGAAGTTGACATCCAATTCATTCAAAAATGAATCCCACCATATGGCATGAGAAAAAAAGAGCGTGCTAAAATTTCAAGCATCTGTGATAAGTAGTTGCTGAGAGAACTGTGACGGAATTTGGTACACACAGATGCAAGGATTAACAGGAAGTTGACAACAGATTTGTACAAAAAAGAAACCCACCATATGACATGTCTTAAGACAAAGAAAATGCTAAAATTTTAAGCATCTGCAAAGAGTACCAGTAGCCACTGAGAAAAAATGCGACAAAAATTTGTGAAGGACAGACAGACAAAGATCACAGACAGACACATAAGGGTAAAACAGTATACCCCCCTCTCCTTTGGAGTGGGGGTATAAATATTAGATAATGTTCTACATGTACATATACACTGTACATATAATACCAAAACTTCTCCTCTGCTTTCAAGGGCTTGGAACCTTCTGCTTGAAAAAACATGCTAAACATGTTAATCCAAGCAGGCAGCATTAAAAGTTTTGTGCTATTTTGGTTTTGTTCCTTTTTTCTGTTTTTTTTTTGTTGTTTTTTTGTTTTTTGTTTTTTTTTTTTTTTTGGTTGTTTTTTTTTTTAAATTATTTTTATCATTTTTTCTGTGTACTTCTGATTTTGTTTTGGTTTTTTTTTTGTTTTTGTTTTTTTGTTGTTGTTTTTTTGTTTGTTTGTTTGTTTTTTGTTTTTTGTTTTTCATTTTTTGCACAAAACTTGCCAATGATTCAGAACATTTACAAATCACAATGTAACATTTACAAATCACAGTATAACATTTACAAATCACAATGCATGTATAACATTTTCAAATTGAAATCTAACATTTACTGTACAAATCACAATTTAACATTTTCTTCAAAATTTATCAATTACTCTCACTGCGTATTAGTCTTCACATTTCAATTATTCAATAAATTAACATTTAGTGTCAGCTTAACAATTATTATTACAATAGCTAACATATATACATTCTAGGAACACTTCTGTAATTTAATATTTTCATTATCTGCAATATATATATATAATGTTTAATTTTAGATAAACTAAAAACAAAGAGCATAAAAGACAAGGCAGCCTACAACTAGTCGCATTTTCAACCTCTCCTCCCCGGGCCAGCCTGGCTACCGTAGCGGCCAAGGAACTTGAAGTTCCAACCAGTATTGCCCCAGGGTATTGTAAAGGTCTACTTATACAACTAGCCTTCAACTACTTCATCTATTTAATGATAACAATAACTAATGGTTATTTCAATGACATAAAAGAAAAAGAAAAAAATGGGGTCAGTGTGGGAGGAAGCCGGAGTACCCGGAGAAAACCCACGTGTCCGAATTGGGCAACCCCATACCCTTTCGTAATTCGGACACCCATTACAAAAATGTTTTTAAAAATGTTTTCGATTTTAAAAACACATGAAAAACATAAATTAGCTTTGAAGATTTGGATATCTGCACTGTGTCTCGCTTAGAACTCCATATGATCTCAAGGATGTCCCTCTTAAATTTCTTCACTCAGGCTTTCTGCAAATGAATGAAACAAGATCTAGAGGTATTCATCAGATTTCAGTAAAAAATGAAGGAAAAAAAAGTAAAACATTGTAATCAAAGAAACTCTCCATACCTGAAGGGTCCTTGTCCTTGGTTGTTTTTTTTTTCTTCATTTGTTGTTTAACATTCCTTTCGAGAATTTTTCACTCATATTGAGACGCAAAGCCTTGTCCTTGGTAATGTCAAGCAAACCCACGTGAATTCAGCTTAATTCCCTAGCTACTCAGTACATGCAGTCACCAAATCTTAAAACTTTAAAAAAAGAGAAATTGTTAATGCTACACATCAAATATAGGACAGAACAGAAAATAAGACAAAACTACATGCATTTGAGTAAAATAATTCATGAGGATATCCATACTCATTGTGCACTTCATCATAATCCTTATATAGTGTCAGAAATGTATGTTTGTACAGGTTCAGGTCTCACACAGGGAAATATTTTCAATACATATTACTATATAGCTTAATTAAATTAAATTAATCAATTAACTAGACTCTCAGCAGATAATCAATGAGGGAGTCTGTACAAGTAAAAATGTTTTATTTTTTATTATTTATCTTATCAAAATTATTTTAATTTATTATCTTGTTTTCTTACCTGTCTGATGAACACAACAAAGGTTACAGAGGTGATTGGTAGAGATACGGGAACTCTCTGTTGATGACCAGACAGCATACCACATTGTATATTCGCCATTATTGATCTTAAACAGGGGAGACTACTCCTGAAATCAGAGAAATTGTAGTCAGAATGAGAGTTACCTGTTACTCTTTAGATCTCACACAAGGATTCCGAAATATTTTCACTATAGGTTACAATATAGCATTAATTAAATTAATTGATTAACTAGACTTTCAGCAGATAATCAATGAGGGAGTCTGTACATGTAAATATGTTTTATTTTTTATTAGTTATCTTATTAAAATTATTTTAATTTATTATCTTGTTTTCTTACCTGTCTGATGAACAAAACAAAGGTGATTGGTAGAAATATGGGCATCAAAACTCTCTGTTGATGACCAGACAGCATACCACATTGTATATCTGCAGCCATTATTGATCTTAAACAGGGGAGACTACTCCTGAAATCAGAGAAATTGTAGTCAGAATGAGAGTTACATGTTACTCTTTAGGTCTCACACAAGGATTCCGAAATATTTTCACTATAGGTTACTTTATAGCATTAATTAAATTAATTGATTAACTAGACTCTCAGCAGATAATCAATGAAAGAGAAAATAAAGATTAATGCTTAGACAAAAATTAGATGCCTTATGCGGCTTTTAAGAAAGAAAATTGACAGTAAACATACCTACCCCGAAATACACATGGGTTTCACATGTTGACAAACAGACTACACACCATCCAGGAAGTTGTATTATGCACACCTGAAAAAAAGTTCCCTTTAATTCAGTGTAGAGTCCAACCTGTAGACTCCTACACAGAAACCATGTCAGATGATCCCAAACTCAAAACTATACAAAGTCCTTCACCAAGAAAAGACTGCTTATTTGTGGAATCAGGCATTTAAAGAACACTTACAGAAGTTTCCAGACTGTGACATTTCATTGGACTGGAATCAGCATGGGGAGGAAAAAACAAGGCCTGGCATGGATCCTTTCCATCTGATATAAGAAGTGCCACTATATCAGTCACCAAGAAAAGCTGTATTAAATGGTGAGATGATCCAGAAGGGGACGTAGAGCTGCACAGCTAAGTGTGGCCATGGCTGTCGGTTACCTGGATACCAGTCTTACTACAGAGATGCTTCTTGGTGCAAATATTGAACCAACATCAACCACCAACATGCAACAGACCTGCAACAAAGTGGGGAAAATTATCACAGATGTGAATAAAACTAGTATGAAGAAAATAAGGCAGAACATTCAAGAACTTCATGAAAAATATGGACTTCCTGATACCCCTATCAGAGCAGAAGGAGATGCCCGATATAATAATGCCACTTTCAGTGCCATTGGAAAAACCCCATTCCAAGCTGCCACCCAAGTGACTAAATATACCATAAGTAAAAATGTAACTCAGAGGAAAAATGTTGTGACAGTGTTCTGTGGGAATAAGCTATGCAAGAAAGGCGCACATCTGAGAAGCAAAGGAAAGGAAGTTACCTGCCCAGGACACGACAACTGCACTGCAACCATTCCTCCGGAGACCACCATTGGAGATGAGAAGAGATGGGACGCAAAATGTATTAGTGAGTTACAAAGTGATGACTGTCCACTAGTCATTTCCCATTTCACCAGTGATGGAGATAGTGCCACTGCATCTGGTGTATCTGAAAAACAAGGACATGTCATTGAAAACTTAAAGACTTGCATCACTTCTTTAACTCTCAAAGAAAACAGACAGCTACACTGCTCCATTCAGCAGTCACACATTTCTGAGAAAAACCAAAGCCATAAGAGAATCCATGCAGAGAAGATTTGCCTTGGACCTTTAGCTTGGATGCAGGACAGAGTACGAAAATTGCTACCAAACACTACTCCAGAGACTTACCTTTGATGAAGTGGGCTATGTCTACTGCTGTCGGTTCCATCGTAAGCTGCTACCAAGGACAGTGCAGAATGTCCTGTCAACTTTATTCCTTTTCCTGACATGGACTGAAAAGCAATAAGTGGAAATCTTCAGTGTTGCCTAGTGACTTTAAATTAAATATGACAGAAGAAGACAATTAAATGTTTGTTAAAAGACTGTATAAATTGACTTTAGGACCAAGTAATCTTGATAGAATTAAATATCATACTTGTACACAAAAATCTGAATCTGTGAATAGGGCATATTTAAAATCAAATCCAAAATGTATTACAAGTTGTAGTAGTAGAAATTTCGAGAGTAGAATACATAAAGTTGTGCACTCACTGAATAAGGTCATGGAAACTCAACATTGGAACTTTGTGAATCTGAAAGGCACCTGTTGCAAAAGGAAGTAGAGTGGTCCATCATCTATAGCAACAAAATAGGCAAAATTACTTAAAAATGAAACAAAAACCATTAAAACATAAATCTCAAAGAAAATACTTTAGATCTAAAAGATATCAGCTCATTGATAAAAAAATCTAAAGACACTAGCTTACAGTAAATCACTAAAGATCCAAAATTAAAAAGGAAGTTGTAAGTGTGAAAATGGGGGAGGGGGGGTTGATGCTGATATTTAATTTAAAAGTATGAAATTTGTATTTAATACATAGTTTGTGAATTCTATTACTGTAATAATTGTTGCTATGTTTTATTATGCACTGATTCTATCAACTGTGTAAATGGGGAAAATGTGGATATGTAAATGATGTATAGTTGTATAATGTGACATTTTCTTTTATTATACTTTCATGTTAAATACTAATATCTGATTGGTTTAGACGCATTTAACAATCCGTAATGTTACCCTCAGCGTTAGCAACAGACTTGACAACGGGTAACATTACGAAAATATCACATGCGTTCAAATCATGCGCGTACGGTTCACCGTAGAATTCTCAAAACGTCGGTTGTGCGTTTGAAAGAAGCCGAATAAACGACGTCAATAAAAGCTTGCGTCCGATGTAGCTTACTTGAAAACAACAAACGACAGACGAAACATCCTTGCGAGTGCAAACTTTAGATGATAAAGGACTTTTTGAGTAGCAAACAAACAATAAAGAGGTTGGTAAATCTTTTCCGAAGCTTTCTTATTGAGAAAAATAGAAGCGGGGAGATTGAAAGCTTTCTAAGCGTGAACTTAACGACGATCTCCGAATTTTTTTATGACATCCGAAATCAATAAGACATTCAGTATAATAAAATAAATAGTACACGTTTTTGAGGGTAACAGTTGAAATTGACACCCCTCGGAAAACCATTGTCAACCTCCGCTGACGCGTCGGTTGACAATGGTTTTCCTTGGGGTGTCAATTTCAACTGTTACCCTCAAAAACGTGCACTATTTATATAATATTATACTTTCATGTAAATTAGTTGAATCTGATTCGTCGAGAAACATTTCTTAAAAAACACTATTACCTGCTGAATAATGAAGCCACGCCCACCAGCGTAGCAACAGTTAACATTGCTTGGCGACGGGTGTTATTCCAAAAAATAGCGACTGCGCAGAATTTATGCGCGCAAGGTTCACTGTTATATGTATTTATATAAAACATTCAGTACAATATAATAAATATTGCATGTAGTTGAGTGTAACATTGAAAATTTTCACCCCTCGAAAACCATTGTCAACCTCGGCTGCGCCTCGGTTGACAATGGTTTTCTTGGGGTGAAAATTTTCAATGTTACACTCAACTACATGCAATATTTATATAATATGCATGTGAGTCTATACATGTAAATATTTTTTATCATTTATCTTATCAAAATTATTTTAATTTATTATCTTGTTTTCTTACCTGTCTGATGAACACAACAAAGGTTACAGAGGTTATTGGTAGAGATACGACAGGTGTCAAAACTCCCTGTTGATGACCAAACAGCATACTGCATTGTATATCTGCCATTATTGATCTTAAACAGGGGAGACTACTCCTGAAATCAGAGAAACTGTAGTCAAAATGAGAGTTACCTTTTTCTCTTGTCTCACACAAGGAAATATTTTCACAACATGTTACTTTATAGCTTCAGTTAAATTAATTATCTAATGACTCCCAGCAGATAATCAATGAAAGAGAAAATAAAGCTAGATTAAATTTGAGATCAGAAAAAATATGCCTTATGCAGCTTTTAAGAAAAAAATTGACAGTTAACATACCTACCCTGAAATACACATGGGTTTCACATGTTGACAAACAGACCAACAGACTACACACCATGAAGTTGCATCATGCGCACCTAAAAAAAAGAGTTCCCTTTAATTCAGTGGGACAGTTCTGATAAAGATATGATATTCCTAGTACATGAGTTCAAAATTAATACTGTAGGCCTAAAATAAGATGCCAAAAAGTGAAAAAACAAAAAGAAATTGTCTCTCTATATATAGTACTATAATTGACTAAGTTCATGAGTATGAAATAAAAACTGAAGTGAACTGTTATGTCTTGCAATGTTATCACCCGCTTTTTATAGTACCTGATACGTATTACTATTATGCATGTATAACAATTTAAGTTATAATATAAGAACTATATACTACCACAGAAGTAGTCAAACTTTGTTATCTGAAACTCGATGGGACAGAGAAAAAGTTCGAAATATCCAAAGATTTGAGATATTGAAGGTAAAATACGTAAAGAATAAATTGTTGGGACTTCCAAATCACTTTGACATATCCATGGTATTCAAGATCCATGGTGTTAGAGATAATGAAGTTTAACTGTATTATATATATAAAAAAAAGTATGCAATTTTTCTAAATGTCCAACTACATGTCTTTTTTTTTTTTATCTGAAAATATACTGATCAGTTTTCAATTAGAAAATGTATAAATTAGAGCTTTTATTTCACAGGTTTCCTAAAAATTTATTTTTATATTTGAGATTTCATAATTTTCCATATATATATGTATAATACGATTGATTATAATGATAAACTCCGAAGAAATAACGTGGGCATATTTCCATTATATTTTGTGAATTTAGTGACATTTTTGTGAACATTTTCAATTACTTTACTGCTAATTTTTAGAACCTGAGGATTGGACTACCTTAAGAAGATTTTGGATGATGGCTGTGTCCTATACCTGATCAGTGTCAGTTATATACAGTAATTGTGGTATATCTTTTGGGAGGGTCAACTGATCTATCAAGCTCTTCCATTTGTTTCCATCAAGTCCTGCAGCTGCTGTTTCCACATCTTGGAAGATCAGTATCCATCAAGCTCGTCTCTTCTAGTTGTTTCCACCAAGTCCAGTTGACTGCAGCTGCTGTTTCCACCAGATCCACATCCACCAGGCTTGTCTCTTCTAGTTGTTTCCACCAAGTCCAATTGACTGCAGCTGCTGTTTCCACCAGATCCACATCCACCAGGCTCGTCTCTTCTAGTTGTTTCCACCAAGTCCAGTTGACTGCAGCTGCTGTTTC